AATGTACTATTCAGCTACACCACAGGTGTCAAACTTGTAGCATCATGTTGCCATCACGTGACATTTTCCCCATGCGTGGAGATGGGGCGGGTGTGGCCTGCGCATGACACGCCTGGCCTACAGGCAATCAGTTTGACACTCCTGTCTACACCAATGAAATCTATCCCCCACCATTATTTTTTTGGGGGGGGGTCGGTCACAGTCTCTGAGTCTAGGGGTACAGTACTCCCAACAAATTTGTTCTTACAGGAAAAATTGAAATGGAAAGACCACGCTCCTGAAGTAAAAGCAGGATATCTATTTGTTCCATAAAAATATAAATTATGCCATTATGTAAGGGTTTAATTTGAGAGATTTTGGAAAAAAACAATATGTTTACGATGTATTGCTTTCTAACAGGATTCTGCTTCTACACAAAATGCTGCAATTGTGTTCAGCGTAGGATGTTTGCACAGCTGAACACTATCTCTACCGCAGTTTGTTTTTCATCTTTTGTAAAGACAGAAGAAACCTTTTGTCATACTCCAAACAGAAAATATGCTCCCAAATTTCCTAATATCAAAGCGACATTAAAAGCCCACAAAAATTTAATTCGCGTAATTTTATTTCTGATATCTTTTTTAAACATTTTTTTTTCCCAATTTCAACATTGCCTTGGTGATCGTGACCATTTTAGCAATAATGATCGAACTCCAGCATATTACATCAGCGTAAAACTGACATTTTTCAAATCTTTTTTTTCCTTTTAACATTTTTTTTTTAAAACAAAGCAAAAATTTTAGTTTTAAAAGGGCAGGTTCTGTAACGACAAAGAATTTTCCTTCCTTCCCTGCGTAGCTAAAAATCCATATTTTGTCTCAAGGTAAATCGAGTCTGATAGTCAAATCTCCAACTTTTACCAAAGCAATCCCACTCCGGCATGCTCCGAATCACAACTTTTAAGAGGTATGGACTTCAGCTCCTGGAAGCCTGGGGATTTCTGGGAGTTGAAGTCCACACCTCCACAGTTGGTAAGGTTAGAAACATTGCTCCAAATGGATGCTACACTTGCTCCCCTCTCCCCCCACAACTATAAGCATAACTGAGAATATGAAGGCAAAGAGTACTTTAGTAAGACTTTATATACATCATCTGTATCACAATGCTACGTTTCTAAGGCATGCTGTCCTAAACTGGATGAAATTGGAAAGTGGCCCCAATTACCCATCTTTTTTTTTGTTCAGAGAAACGGAGAGATCATCCTGTTATTTCCTTACTTGTTTGTGTGTCCAACCAAAATTGTCCTTTACGCCTTTTGGGAAGGCTAGGTTTACACACACAGAGACAGAATCACACATGCGTGCACACAGGGTTGACTATGGGGTTGGTGGGCGTTGAAACTTGCAGCTTGGCATTAAAACCAACAGTGGATTGCAGCAGGAAGTGAACGAGAAAGTGCTTTAGAAGTTGTAGCTGATATGTCTCACGGGACAGCAGGAGGGCGATTTATCTAGTAATGTAGGCTATCGAAGCCTTCTCTGAGTAGAAAAATTCTTATCAAAGACACTGTCTCTTATACATCTGCCTATGCTAGCAGTGAGCACCCAGGAGTACTCAATGCTTTGGGTGCTACAGTGAACGATGAGGATGGGCCTCATCAAGACATCTCTGTCCTCAGCTGTTCTGTCTGGCTTCTAAGTTTGGATGGCAGCTGGTTCTCATAAGCAACAGTTCACATCTGAGATTGTGCGCACAAGGAATTCAGAAGGACATTTCTCATTCCTTGTTTGCTCACATTTCACAGGGAAATCCACATGACATTACCAGCCATCTGGTATTTTTATTTCCCCCCAGTGCTACTTCTGCAGCCTTCTTATTTATATAAAAAAAACAACGTTTGTGAGAATAAAAGAGTAGCATAATAGCCACAGATGTAAATGCTGATCGTGATAGTCCAACTTTTTTAGGGTACGGTTTAGATTGCAGGCACTGACATTAATTCTTGCAATGGGCATTAATTTAGAAACCCATTCCTCCACCCCACCCTCCCCCACATCAATCTTAGTACTAAAGTGCTTCCCTGGCTATAGTGTTTTTTTTT